CCTTCTTCAGGGGTGACACTGTGTGCATCCAATGTCTGGTGACCTCAGTGTGTGAATGGTGGTGCCGGTGATACCTTTTACTTCTGCAAGCCCCTGTGGGATGTATGCACACATGACAACCTGGCATTCGTTGTGTACCCTTTATCCATGATTGATGGGGAATATACCTTTTTGTATTACATAATATACGACATACCCTTGTTCACCCCGAAGAAGGGATTTGTTTCCGAAACGCATTGGGTCCTGTCTGGATGCTATAGTTAGAGCCATTATGCCATTTGAGCAGCTTATCTTAGCATGTCCTGGACAGTTGAAGTATATTTGACGGTACTTTGCAATATGGTTTTTTATATTTATCACTGTCTATCAATGTATTGCTTTTATGAATTTTAATATATTGGCTTGGCTTGTTTAGTCTTTTTAATCTACTGTTGTGTAGATTGCCTACAAAGTCCCATTACATGTTCTCATTGTATTCAAGTCTGGATATTGGCAATATCTACCACTTTACCTTGTCCAATATATCTCAATCAACTACTCTAAGCATTGTTTTAAAATTAACATGGAGATATAGTACCACTTACATTATTAGAGTAATTCATTTTTTATAGAGAATTCATTTTTTATTTTGTCAATCAAAACCACAGTGTACCTTGTCGAGACTAAATATTTTATTACACTGTATGAAAAGAAAAGAAGAGTAATATCGATATCCCATCTAAATGGATAACCAATCTACAAGGGCAGCACTCATGCATGTAGGACACAGATGTAAAACTGGTGCTGGTTAATATTTGTGTGCTATGATTTACATCCATGAACAGTATACCTTGGAAAACTGTATAGAAGAAAAGATATGTGTAGCCTTGACCTGGATCCTATACATACAGTATGCAAAATTCCTGGATTTGCAGCTGCCTGTATTGTAGATGTGAGAATTTGCCTACAGACAAAATAAAGAGAAAATATGGCATCCGTAGGAGGCAGCACCCTATATCTGAAAAATGTCCATAAATCACGGCTTGTAAGGTTAATGTAACCAGGTATAAATATAAATCCAGGTTAGTTTTGCTTTGTGTGCTTTTCTGATGCTAGCAGTTCCGCTCTGAGACTGCTTACAATGCTAGGTAACTAATTAAATATAATGCTGCCTCAGTCTCGGTGGACCCCTTAATTATCTGCAATGCACAGTACAAGTGCAGCGCCATGTTCAGAGACTTCACTCCACATCGTAAAAGACAAAGGGCCACATTACCGAAGGCAACGCTTTATAGTCTTGTTACTGACACATCATTAATACTTCGGTTTCTGTTCGGCTCCTGTAGGGTTGGGGATTCTGTAGGATCAATATGTATTGTACTAGAAGCCAGCATGCACACTAGCTTTGTAAAAAAAAGCTATGAGAAAGAACATTTGGGGACCCTTGTACTAATGTAGATATTAGTGAATACTGTATATTATACCCCCCTTTATTAATTGATTTGAAATACGAGCCTTTCAAAGCCAAGGATAGTACAATATTGATCTTGGATTGCAAGCTCCAAGGATCAGAGTCCTCCTAACCCTCTTGTATTGAACTGTATCGTTGCGTAATTGTTTCTCTTTATATTGTAAAGCGCTGAGCAAACTGAGCGCTATATAAATCCTGTATAATAATAATAATAGCGTATAATAATAGAATATGCAGTATTACAATATTTTTTAAAGCTGAACTCTAGACAGATACAAAAGACACACATTTATGCAGCTCTGTAATTGTTACAGCTGAATTCCAGGTATAGATTTTCATATAGTTATGCTGGTTCATCGTGGACCAATGTAAGTATGCACTTTCCATGCATGGCCAATCCCCGTCATTGTAGTGGAGCCCACCACTGCAGCACTCTTCACTAGCTTCCAAGTCCCGTGTTGAGTGGCTGCCCTGCTGCATTGTCAACACAGAAGGTTGCTCGCTTGACACAAATATCCAGAGAACACTGCATTTTCTCAAGGAATGCAAAGTGTTTTCTGATTGAATGAGGTGGTGATTGTGAGGCCACCTACCCGCTTCTCCATCTTATCCAATCAGAAAACTCTTTCCACGTGACCTCTTGTGTTCACTAAGCAGCAGGGCAGCAAATCCGCATGGGACCTGGAAGGTAGCAGCGATCACTGGAGTGGGGGTGCTACCTGCCTGGAATTCAGCTTTAATACATTATTAAATGTATTTTTAAATGCAAGCAATGTAAAGTCAGCCATACATTGAAGTTCAGCAGTGATCAGCCAAATTTTGATCTATGTATGGGCACCCGGTTGTACTCAAGTCGGTCTGTCCACCTGAAAGGAAACCACCCAAAGGAACCACACAATGGGGGTCAAGGACCAAAGGGTCAAACATATGATGGATAGCTACAATGAAATATGTGTAGAACAGAAGTGTCAGTGAAAGCTCCCCGCCGGCAGAACACAATAGCTCTATGGGAGGGAATCAGTGTTGATGGGGGAATCAAGCAATTTCTTTCCTGCAACCCATGGTGGAAGGAAAGAAAATTGCATAATATTTGGCCTACTTTAGTACCTGAAGTTGGCCTGGACAGCAGAGCTCTGACTGGGGCAGGAAGAAGTGGTACAAGGAGCCAGTTAAGTAATTCACAGTTCAAGGTGTGTGCTGATAGAAGGAGAGAGCAGAGTGACAGCAAGATGAGCTCATTTCTGAGCTTCCCCCTCTTTTCACTGTCCAGTCACAGGCTGGGGAGGGTCCAGGATGTAATGAAGAACAAAAATGTATTGTGCTTCCCCAACCTTGTGTTTGAGCTGCACAACCTTTGATCGGCTATTGGATGAACTTTCATATATTTTTCCAGCCGCTGATTTCTGATCTGGCTCTCTGAGCGCATTAGGTGTTGTATCTGTTTCCGAGGATCCAGAATGACCTGGGATTAAATGGTTTGAACAATACTGGTCATCAAACTGAAGACATCTAGGGGTTTATTTACTAAAAAGCTGGAGAGTCCAAAATCAGACTCCCTTCTGCATAGAAACCAATCAGCTTCTAACCTCAGCTTGTTCAATGAAGCTTTGGCAATGAAACCTGGAAGCTGATTGGTTTCTATGCAGAAGTGAGTCTGATTTTGCACTCTCCAGCTTTAGAAAATAAACCCCCATATGTCTGAAAAAGTACAGCTGGAGAACGTTCTGGATTTGATTTTCTCTCTTAATAATCTATTCCTCTTTATCTTATTTTTGGCTGGAGTTCTGCTTTAAATAAAACTGCTACAGTTTTCTCTTTAAATGAAACCCTTTGCGAGTTCCAACTTTGTTGGGTTACAGTGCATTTAGGAAAAGAATTGCTTGCTGCATATGTTTGCATTGATCAAGTATAATGTTCACATCATTTAAATGGAATTCTTCAGGAACTGCAGGACAGCACAAGTGAAAACGCGTGGCAACATATGTTGATGCATTGCACATTGCTGTATGTGTTTTGGTGTGAATGAGCGTTAAAAATGAATGCATGTGGGTCAGATGAATTCCGGGGCCCCTTTCCTGGTCACATAGACCTAGATACGGCTCCTTTCTTTGGAATTCTTAGTCCATACACAGTGAATAAGTGTTTTACTTGGGAAGTATTTTCTTTGAATGTTTCATTAGTAATTTTGACCACAGCTCTATCCCTTTTTTTTTTTTTTTTTTTTTTTTTTTTTTTTTTTTTTTTTTTTTTTTTAATTTAGGCTTTTGAGTGGTGAGGTAGGGATTAGTCCCGTCTAGTCTGTACTGCTGTCTGTGACCCTGGCAGTGAGATCTGTCCATGCATTTGGTCCTCCTGCGATAGCTAAGGTTGGTTAGTGAATTGAACTTCTGCTTTCCAGCTTCTATAATTCAATAAGATGCCACATTTTTTTTTCACAATGGCCAGTACATTTTAGTTTATTTATTTCAGGTACTTATATAGCGCCGTCAATTTACGCAGCACTTTACATATATATTGTACATTCACATCAGTCCCTAACCTCAAGGGGCGTACAATCTAAGGTAGTTACCAGTAACCTGCAGTTTTTAAGTAAGAACTCTCACAATTTTTGGTGCGATCCAACCTGCGATCTGAGGGCTGCATGCGGCACTTTGGCATATGATGTGCGGCCCTCTTACCTTAGTAGTCTGTAGTGGGAACATTAATTTGGGTAATAGCATTGATCTCTACTAGCTTCATGTAACATGTTCTGCAGCATATCACCAGCCAAATGTAGCATTTCCACACTCTGACCCTCTTTTCCTCTATTAGGTCTGCAGTATTTAAAGGATAAGTTCACCTTTTAACAAAAAATAATAAATGCACATTTTTTTTTTTTTGCAGATAAAAAAATGTTCATTTATTATTTTTTGTTGCAGGAGCCTCTAAAGCACAGGTGTCAAACTGGCGGCTCTCCAGCTGTTGCCAAACTACAAGTCCCATGAGGCATTGCAAGATTGACAGTTACAAGGATGACTCCCAAAGGCAAAGCATGATGGGACTTGTAGTTTCGCAACAGCTGGAAAGCCGCCAGTTTGACACCCCTGTTCTAAAGCATATGCGTCAATCATGTGGCCCTCGCATCCAGGGCTTCTTTTCAGCCGGAACGTGGCAGAGGTCCATTCCGCCACCTCCAGCTCTTGTCTTCTGCTCCCCACTCACCACTGTCACTTCTAAACGAAGAAGCCTTCTTTGTTTACAAGGACAGTTTTCCTCTCACAGACCCCTCCCTAACCTGCACTCATGGTGGGGACAAGGAAGATGCACATGCAAGTGCAGTGTGGGATGGGGTATCACGTGGTAACCTGCACTGTGATCCCCTGTTACACAGACGCCAAACCAATGATTTCCCTGCAAGTGAGAGAGAGGCAGAGCTGCCTACACTGCCGGGCTGGGCCGGGTAGGTGAGATGCGAGAGAGCTTTTTTTTTGGGGGGGGGGGGGGCAAGAGACGAGGGCTGTGGAGGAAGCTGTGTGCAGAGGCAAGGGATGGGGGTGGTGCAGAGGTCAGACAGGAGGGGTGGAAGTGAGATGTGGACAACCTGTGAAAGAGAGCTGAACCCTGCACTCTGTACATAGCGCACTCCTGAGCCCTGCACTCTGTACGTAGCGCACTCCTGAACCCTGCACTCTGTACGTAGCGCACTCCTGAACCCTGCACTCTGTACGTAGCGCACCTCACCCCTGAACCCTGCACTCTGTACGTAGCGCACCTCACCCCTGAACCCTGCACTCTGTACGTAGCGCACCTCACCCCTGAACTCTGCACTCTGTACATAGCGCACTCCTGAACCCTGCACTCTGTACATAGCGCACTCCTGAACCCTGCACTCTGTACGTAGCGCACCTCACCCCTGAACCCTGCACTCTGTACGTAGCGCACCTCACCCCTGAACCCTGCACTCTGTACGTAGCGCACCTCACCCCTGAACCCTGCACTCTGTACGTAGCGCACCTCACCCCTGAACCCTGCACTCTGTACGTAGCGCACCTCACCCCTGAACCCTGCACTCTGTACGTAGCGCACCTCACCCCTGAACCCTGCACTCTGTACGTAGCGCACCTCACCCCTGAACCCTGCACTCTGTACGTAGCGCACCTCACCCCTGAACCCTGCACTCTGTACGTAGCGCACCTCACCCCTGAACCCTGCACTCTGTACGTAGCGCACCTCACCCCTGAACCCTGCACTCTGTACGTAGCGCACCTCACCCCTGAACCCTGCACTCTGTACGTAGCGCACCTCACCCCTGAACCCTGCACTCTGTACGTAGCGCACCTCACCCCTGAACCCTGCACTCTGTACGTAGCGCACCTCACCCCTGAACCCTGCACTCTGTACGTAGCGCACCTCACCCCTGAACCCTGCACTCTGTACGTAGCGCACCTCACCCCTGAACACTGCACCCTGTACGCAGCGCACTCCTGCACCCTGTACGCAGCGCACTTCTGCACCCTGTACGCAGCGCACCCCTGAACCCTGCACTCTCCTTGCTAGCTACATTGTCTGGTGAACTTAGAGGAAAGTGGGGGGCTGTTTGACATCTTAACTAGGCTTACAAAGGACGTTGGATAATGGTAACAGAGTTCTTCTTTAAATTGATGATACTATATAAAGTGATAGCTCTGGCTCCTGACACCCATTTAGATTGTGTATTTGTGCTATCCTGTCCATGTGTCCTGATGACTGACAGCAGCTCAATAAAGTATACAAGGTTTTTATGACATGGCATCACCAGTATCCATATAACACGAATTATCTACTGCCCTCATATGAACTTTGAGCTGTGGGAGCTGTAAAATAGATTGCCAGTCCTTGTATTGGATAAAAGTGCGTTGAATTTGAGAAGCATATGATAACTAAAAGGCACAGCTCATGTCTGTAAGGCCTGGTACACACCAATGTGTATTTAGTGCTCTTTGCAGAAATGCACTACAGGTCATTTACCATGGTTTCCTATGGGATATGTTCACATCTTTGCTTTTTTGAGCTGCTGCGTTTTTGTTAAAGGATCAGGGACTTTTTTTTAATGCAAAAAGCCGCGTTTTTGCTACAAACATTCAATTGAGAAGCTGCTGAAACACGTAGCGCACTTTTGCTGCGTTTTTACCGTGTTTGGCGGGGTTTTTTTTCTGCGATAAAAAAATTTTCACTGTAACAAAATAAAGGCTGAAATGCGGTAAAAAAGTGCATGCAAAAATGCAATGGAAAAAAGCACAATGCATTGGTGTGAACCAGGCCTAATGCAGGCCATACATGGTTCGAATTCAGGACGATTTTTTTTATCCGAAAATCAGAACATTGTTCGTTCTGTCATACCATGGTGCCACCGATGATTTTGAAAATCGGTCGTTTTTCATGAATTTTCCAGCATGCCCGATAAACGAAATGGGGAGGAACCACAAAAATCGGGCGATGCCATTGCCCCACTAACAGAGCGAAAATCGGCCGATTATTCTTAGGTCCGATTTTCGTACGAAAATCGTTCGGAATGCGAACCATGTATGGTTTGCATTAGGCCTGTTTCACACCAATGTATTGTGCTTTTTGTCCATTTTGCAGTGCATTTTTGCTATGTTCTCTTTGTTGCTGGCTGGCAGAGGCATAGGGGAAAATGACCATGGCAGACTTTTGAAAATGACCATGGTATTTACTGGTCAGTAGTTTTTAGCATGATGGTTTTGAGGCTGAAGCAATTGGTGTAGAGGTTTTGGCATGTTTCACTCCAGCTCCATGGAGAGCAGAGTGGCTCAGTTGGTAATACTTTTCCTTGCAGCACTGGAGTCCTTGGTTCAAATCCTAGCCAGTATACTATTTGCATGGAGTTTGTATGTTCTTCCTGTGTGTTGCGTGGGTTTCTTCCAGGTACTCAGGTTTCCTCCCATACTCCAAAGACATGCTGGTAGGTTAAATGGCTGCTTTCCAAACTGGCCTTAGTATGTATGTATGTGTGTATGTATGCATGCATATTAGAAAGGGAACTTGGATTGCAAGCTTCTTGAGGGTGGGTACTAATGTGAATATACAGAACGTAAAAGCAGTGCACAAAATGGTCCGCCATATGTAATGCTTGAAATAAAAAACCAAAAACAAATGGAGAGTAGCCTTTGTAGTACCCTGAACCCTGCTTCGTAATATTCACCTGGGGTCAGACCGCGAATAATCCTTATACTTTCTGCCCAAATGACATTAGGAAGAAATAGGAGAAGCTCTGCATGTCTCAGGAATGGTTAAAGCTAAGCTCCATGTTTAACGGAACTTTTAATAGTGTGGATGAGGCTGTTTGTATAGTGACAGGGTCACGTCACTTTAAATATGCAGATAATGACTTTTCCTAAAGTTGATATTTGTATATTAAACTCCAGCCAGATATAATAAGATAAAAATATACAGCCAATTTAACCGCTTCCCGACCACCCCACAGCAGAACTACTGCTACAGGGCAGCAGGGCAACGCAAAATCCTGTATATGTGTGATTTTGTATTTCTGGGTAGGGAGCGTGCGTGCCACCATTGGCGGCTACAGCTGTCGATCACCAGGTCCCAGACGGTGATTCCCCGCTGGCACCCAGTGATCGCCGAGGAACACTGACGAGAGAAGTCTGTATGTAAAAAATACAGATCTCTCCCCTGTCAGCACAAGCATGCTGCTTTGTATTGCTCTGCGTAGCAGAGCAATACAAAGCAGCATGCTTACACAGTAATGGCACACAGCACATAATGTGAAACAGCACACAGTTAACCCTTTAATCACTCCATATGTTAACCCCTTCCTGCCCAGTGTCATTAGTACAGTGTCAGTGCTTTTTATTAGCACTGATCACTGTATTAGTGTCACTGGGGATGTCAGTGAGAGTTAGTTTCCACCCAGTGTCAGAATGCTTGCTGCAGTCGCTGATCGCTGCCATTACTAGTATAAAAAAGGAAAAAAAAAATTCCTGTATGTATACCGCCCTTTTTAGACGCTAGAACTTTCACATAAACCAATTAATTTACATGAAATGGGATTTTTTTTTTTTTTAGCAAAGACATGTAGCAGAATACTTTTTGGCCCAAATTTATGACGAAATTTAATTTTTTTACAAAATTCTTTTGCTGGACATGTTTTATAGCAAAAAGTCAAAAATATTGTTTTTTTTATTCCAAATTGTCGGTCTTGTTTTGTTTATAGCACAAAAACTAAACGCAGAGGCGATCAAATACCACTGAAAAAAAGCTCCATTTGTGGGGAACAAAGGTGCGGCTATGCATGACCACGCAATTGTCAGTTAAAGTAATGCAGCGCCGTTACGCAAAAAATAGCCTGGTCAGGAAGGGGGGGTAAATCATCTGTTGTTTAACCTTTAACCACTTGCCCTTCAAACAACTCTTGTTGCAATCTACACTTTTATCAAGAGATGTCCTCAGAAAAAGTGAGTTGAATAATGCTGGCCCTCAGACTGAGTCCAGGTTGTCCTGGATCTGCCCCAGCTTGTGATTGGGCAGGGAAAGGAAAAGCAGCACAGTGACGAGCTCAACTCTGTCATGCTGCTTTTTCCTCCTATCAGCATGCTTCTTGTCAGCACTTGATCTGATTGGCTGCTTGTGCTGCTTCTTCCTCTCCCTCTCCAGCCCTGCTGTACAAGGTTTGCAACATGCTGATAAGGGGTAAAATTCGGGTACTACTGCTTGCTTTTAAAACTTTTAATGATGTGTAAATGATTGCAGGAGTGTATTAATCTCAGTTCATTGATCTAAATACATGCATTGTTTACCCTGCTCCATACTGCAGCCACTTTCACCCAGTCAGGTCTATACTGCATTTGAAAACTCCAGAGAGGTGAAACGACAAGAAGTGGTTATTTTTACACTTCAGAAACCATCTGAAATACTCAAGGATACCGGCTTCTACTTTTCCTGCTAAATATTTGAGTGGCAGGTAGGGTCCTATGTAAAATAGGCTGTGTCTGTTTTGGCTGCCTGCTAAAAGAACCCCAGTGTTGGCAGACATGTCTGCCACGAGAGTCTGTCTGCAGACAAGGCACAGAGCTTCCACTGTTTCATTGTCAGGAAAATTTCCTGGGTTTCCCGTATAGACCAACATGCTGCTGTCCAGGAAAAGAAAAAAAAAAGTATGCAAACTGGAAAAGCTGATACAGCTCCTCAACTGGGAATGTCTTTCAAAAAAAAAAAAAAAGTACGTTGATGGAAAAGTGCATAAAACCCAATCCTTGTAGTTTAACTTATCTTTCATTTTTATAGAGGAGCTCTGTGGGATTAAAATGTATATAAACCCAAGAACAACATCCTTAGAAGTGGTGGCTGCATTATGTTTTCGGCTTTTTACCTTTATTTTGATCTGGTCATCCAGCCATTAAAGTAAAAATGTAAAATATTTTTGGATGGAGCATTGGAAGGTTAGAGCCCCTGTTTTGTTGTTTGTTTTTTTGCCATCTTTATCTCATAGGGGAGATTTTTCTTCACTTCCTGTCCCAGAGCCAAAGCAGGAAGTGCTTTGTTTTAATGGGTAGAATAAATTAATATTCTTGGCAATGAAGTAAATAAACCCAATCCCTGTAACTGGATTTATCTTTAATTTTTATAGAGGAGCTCTGTGGATTTCAAATGTATCTAAACCCAAGAACAACATTGTAATATATTGCAGCCTGCTCGTCCTTAGAAGGGGTGGCTGCATTATTTTTTCAGGCTTTTTAAGTGACCTGATCATCCAGCCATTAAAGCAAAAATTCAAATTTTTTTTGGATGGAGCAGTGGAGGGTTATAGTGTGTGTGTGTGTGTGTGTGTGTGTGTGTGTGTGTGTGTGTGTGTGTGTGTGTGTGTGTGTGTGTGTGTGTGTGTGTGTGTGTGTGTGTGTGTGTGTGTGTGTGTGTGTGTTTTTGCCATCTGTGTCTCATAGGGAGAATTTCCTTCACGTCCTGTCCCAGAGCCAAAGCAGGAAGTGCTTTGTTTCAATGGGCAGAATAAATTAATATGCTTAGCAATGAATTAAATAAACTTCCAAGCACTTGAAGTGCCTAGACGCGTGTGCAAAAATGCGGCTTAGGCTTTTTTTTTTTTTTGTTTGTTTTGTTTGTTGTTTTTTTTTTTTTTATCATCTGCTTTTCTTTTTAAGTGTTTGAAAAAGCCCCAGTGTGCATGAAGTCTTAGTGATAATGTTAAACATGAAAAATCAAGATGGTTGGTGGCCTTACACACATTGCTAAACGATCAATTTAATTTCCAATCAGAATAATCAGTTTATAGTCGACAGCCTATAACGAATTTTCTTTACAAAATCGGAAGTTTTGTGCATTTTGTTATCCGATGGTGCCACCATTGATTTCGAACTTCAACCAACCAAGCCTTCAATTTCACCTCATGTTGCTACAGAAAAGAATTTTGGTGGCCAAGAATTTTCTTTTCTTTCCAGGTCATAGCTCAGGCTTATTTCTTTTT